AGTAAGTGACAAACTTGAGGGGGTCTAGGTATAATTTATTCATTTAACTTTAGACGACAATCAACGGGTGTTAACTTCAAGTGCATAGTGATACAAATTTTATATTTTTAAAGATATATTTTGAAAATTTTTTATCTTTAAAGCTGCAAATTAAAATTTGATAAATCTTTCAAGATACAATTTGAGATTAACCATAATATTTAAGATCAATCTCAAATATTTCAGACTCCATCATTATTTCTTTTATTAAAACTTGCTACAACACCTTGTAACTTGCCTCAAATGAATTTTAATCAACTTGTATGTAAATTGCATTNTGTAGTGCTACCCTCGGTGATCTGTTAATCAAGAAACATGTCATATTCACTACCTCTGCCCAGAAATTCTTTGCAAGCCCTGCATTCAACCTGAGACACCGAGCTTTCTCGGCTATCGTTCTGTTCATCCTTTCCGCTACACCATTTTGTTGTGGTGTCTTACGGACTGTGAAGTGTCTCTTGATCCCATGCTGCTCACACAACTCCTGGAACTTTGAATCTGTGTACTCAGTACCATTATCTGACCTGAGGCATTTAATCTTCCTCCCTGTCTGGTTCTCTACTTCAGCTTTCCACAGCTTGAACTTGGCAAACGCTTCTGACTTGTGCCGCATGAAGTACACCCAGACCTTTCGTGAGTAATCATCAATGAAACTCACGAAATACATGTATCCTCCCCGTGATAGTACGCTAACTGGTCCCCAAACATCTGTATGGACATAGTCGAGAACCCCCTCTGTCTTGTGTGTGGCTGTCTTGAACTGCACCCTATTCTGTTTTCTAAGAACACAATATTTGCAAAAATTGAGCTTGCATGTCTTGACACCCTTCAATAGATTTTTCTTATGAAGCTCTATCATCCCACGCTCATTCATATAACCCAACCACATATGCCACAAGACTGTATTATCTGATTCAGACTCTGCAGCAGCAACTCCACCTACAATTGTAGTACCCCAGCAGTCTGTAAATGTTTCCTACNCTGACAAGTTTTATATATACCAAACACCACAGAGGAGGGAGTTGTTATATATACAAGCTCTAACAGAGGCAAATAAAAACAAGTCAAAAATAAAACAAAAAAGGAAAAAAAAAATAAGTCAAAGAAACAAGAACAAGTGCTTAACAAGAAGGCCGTCGTAATACCCAAAAATAATAGGCTAACTATCTGCTGCCATTACTTGATTTGGGCCTTTTTCACAATCAGAACAGGACACTTGAGGTTCTTTGCACAGTGATTGCTCACACTCCCCAGGAAAGCCCTGCCATAAGCTAATAAATAATTAGAGGAGACANATCTCAATATATACCTTCAAAAATATAACTCTGTATCAACGTGTACTTGAACTTAACAGTTTGCAGTTGTCCAATTTGACGTTTAAAACTAAATGGGTAAATTACACCTAGACACGCTCATGTTTGTTAGTTAATCACCTGCACCTCATCATATTTGAAATATTATATCTAAACCCTCTGAGAATCCAAATATAACTTAAAGTGTTCCACCAATTGGACATCTAAATAATTTTGTTAAAGTGATGCATTTCATTGGATATAAAGAACATTATATAATATTAGGATTCTTGAATATTATACAATACCTATATTGTATTGGGCATTCAAAAAATAAGCTTAATTTTGAACCTTATAGTATAATATACCCACAAAATAAAGAATAATATGTAAATTATAGTTGTTTATTAAGATGACGTCATGTTTTTTAACGGTTACATTAACGGATATTTGACGAGAGGGGGTTATGTGTTATAGCGCACAAACGTCATTGAGTGTAGATGTAATATTTTAAGTGTGAGGAGTCCAGTGAATAAGTGACAAACTTGAGAGGGTCTAGGTATAATTTATTCATTTAACTTTAGACGACAATCAACGGGTGTTAACTTCAAGTGCATAGTGATACAAATTTTATATTTTTGAAGATATATTTTGAAAATTTTTTATCTTTAAAGCTGCAAATTAAAATTTGATAAATCTTTCAAGATACAATTTGAGATTAACCCTAACATTTAAGATCAATCTCAAATATTTCAGACTCCATCATTATTTCTTTTATTAAAACTTGCTACAACACCTTGTAACTTGCCTCAAATGAATTTTAATCAACTTGTATGTAAATTGCATTACTAACATAATCTCTCGAATCTGTCATTATGAATCAGACAAGTTTTATATATACCAAACACCACAGAGGACGGAGTTGTTATATATACAAGCTCTAACAGAGGCAAATAAAAACAAGTCAAAAATAAAACAAAAAAGGGAAAAAAAAAAATAAGTCAAAGAAACAAGAACAAGTGCTTAACAAGAAGGCCGTCGTAATACCCAAAAATAATAGGCTAACTATCTGCTGCCATTACTTGATTTGGGCCTTTTTCACAATCAGAACAGGACACTTGAGGTTCTTTGCACAGTGATTGCTCACACTCCCCAGGAAAGCCCTGCCATAAGCTAATAAATAATTAGAGGAGACAGAGAAACTAAAGCGTATTACTTTTTTTTTTTGTTTTTTGAAGAGACTCATTAATGTAACTATTCACATCTATTTGATAAATTTTGTTTGGTAATCACGTCATCATTTCCAGCAATTNACCATATAATTTCTGCTTAAGATAGAGCTTGTTCGTCAACGACTTGGACATATACCGACTTTCCAGTTTCAACCAAACTTCCGCCGGTGATTCCTCATCCATGACGTGATACATCACTTCATCAGCCAGACAAAGCCTAATAGTCGCCACAGCCTTCGCTTCCAATTCTTTCCAATTCATGTCGTCCATTCCTGTCGGTTGTTTTCCGTATAATGCCTTCACCATGCCCTGCTGCACTAACAGGTCCTTCACCCTCCTCTGCCATAATCCGAAATTCCCAGTTCCGTCAAACTTCATGATGTCGAATTTTGTAGAGGAAATCCCAGACATCGTAGTCTAGCTCTGATACCAATTGTTGTGATCGTATAGCAATTATGGTGAATAGTAAGGAATCAAACAATTAAGAAAGCAGGAGAAAATAACACACAGAGATTTACGTGGTTCGGCAATGTGCCTACATCCACGAGAGTGAGCGGCCGTTCTTTTCCATTATTGAAGTAGGGTTACATCTTAAGTATTTATATAACCCTAATATGGACGTATTTACAAAAATACCCCTGTACCGTACCGCGGGGGCGTTGCCCCCGCACCCCCAACTAATCAGCGTCCCTTTTATATAAATCCCGCAAGGCAGATACCATCGCGGGCTTCGCTCCAGCATCTGTCTCCTTGCCATTATGCACACAGCAAATATGAGCCACACATACTCTAACAAAGGTTGACTGATAAACCTAAGAATACAATTAGGTTAATTGGTTGGTTGTTTCCCCCTATAGGTTACATGAAGCTCAATACTAATGGCTGCTCCAAAGGCAACCCGAGACCAGTTGGGATTGGAGGGATCTTACGCGACGATAGCGGAATGTGGATCAAAGGATTCATTGGCAGAATGAGTAATTCCTCAAGCCTCAAGGCGGAGCTCTATGCTATTCATCGAGGCTTGAAGTTGATCCTGGCCTTAAGGGGGCCTTTTATTCTTGAGACGGACTCCCTTGAAGCCTACAATCTATTAACTGGAGATCATGTTGTTAGCCACCCTTTCAAAGTCCTTCTGGATGACTACAAATTCATCATCAATTCTCTCAATGTATTGCTGAAGCACACCCTCAGAGAAGGAAACAGTTGTGCTGACTCGCTTGCTAATTCAGGTGTTAATCAAGAGGCTGATCTTTTTGTTCTTGAAGATCCTCCTGCTTGTATTGTCAATATGCTAAGGGCTGACATGTCCGAAACTTTTTTTATTAGGGAACCCAGCTAAGTTGTTGCTAGGTTCCTCCACAGCACCAAAAATAAATAAATAAATAAATAATGTATTCAAATCTACTACAATATAACAGTGACCTTATCACTCAACCTATTGATACTCAGACTCAATCATTTTGTTTGCTATCAGCCCTAGTATTTTAAGATTAATTGTAATATTTAGGGTTAATCACAAATTACACCTTAAAAGATCTCTTGAATCTCAGTTTGCGCTGTCAAGGATAAAAAATCTCAATATATACCTTCAAAAATATAACTCTGTATCAACGTGTACTTGAACTTAACAGTTTGCAGTTGTCCAATTTGACGTTTAAAACTAAATGGGTAAATTACACCTAGACACGCTCATGTTTGTTAGTTAATCACCTGCACCTCATCATATTTGAAATATTATATCTAAACCCTCTGAGAATCCAAATATAACTTAAAGTGTTCCACCAATTGGACATCTAAATAATTTTGTTAAAGTGATGCATTTCATTGGATATAAAGAACATTATATAATATTAGGATTCTTGAATATTATACAATACCTATATTGTATTGGGCATTCAAAAAATAAGCTTAATTTTGAACCTTATAGTATAATATACCCACAAAATAAAGAATAATATGTAAATTATAGTTGTTTATTAAGATGACGTCATGTTTTTTAACGGTTACATTAACGGATATTTGACGAGAGGGGGTTATGTGTTATAGCGCACAAACGTCATTGAGTGTAGATGTAATATTTTAAGTGTGAGGAGTCCAGTGAATAAGTGACAAACTTGAGAGGGTCTAGGTATAATTTATTCATTTAACTTTAGACGACAATCAACGGGTGTTAACTTCAAGTGCATAGTGATACAAATTTTATATTTTTGAAGATATATTTTGAAAATTTTTTATCTTTAAAGCTGCAAATTAAAATTTGATAAATCTTTCAAGATACAATTTGAGATTAACCCTAACATTTAAGATCAATCTCAAATATTTCAGACTCCATCATTATTTCTTTTATTAAAACTTGCTACAACACCTTGTAACTTGCCTCAAATGAATTTTAATCAACTTGTATGTAAATTGCATTACTAACATAATCTCTCGAATCTGTCATTATGAATCAGACAAGTTTTATATATACCAAACACCACAGAGGACGGAGTTGTTATATATACAAGCTCTAACAGAGGCAAATAAAAACAAGTCAAAAATAAAACAAAAAAGGGAAAAAAAAAAATAAGTCAAAGAAACAAGAACAAGTGCTTAACAAGAAGGCCGTCGTAATACCCAAAAATAATAGGCTAACTATCTGCTGCCATTACTTGATTTGGGCCTTTTTCACAATCAGAACAGGACACTTGAGGTTCTTTGCACAGTGATTGCTCACACTCCCCAGGAAAGCCCTGCCATAAGCTAATAAATAATTAGAGGAGACAGAGAAACTAAAGCGTATTACTTTTTTTTTTTGTTTTTTGAAGAGACTCATTAATGTAACTATTCACATCTATTTGATAAATTTTGTTTGGTAATCACGTCATCATTTCCAGCAATTAAATCCTCTCTCGACGGTGGGATTGACATATTTAAGGGTAAATTGTAGTGACACCCACTAGTTTCTTGTAATTTCACTAAGTCCCTCCCTGTTTTTAAAAAAACAATAACATGACAATGTACAACAAATTCTCCCACTATCTAACAGATTAGTAAGTGCCAAACCGGTTTTTCTAAGTAAACAAATTTCATAACATGAACTGTCTAATGTACCCTCATGTGAAATAACCAATTATTTATCATTAAAGTAAGGATTGACAAATGAGGGTAAAATTAAAAATATGTAACTTCGCTCAACCGATAACATTGACAAACGCTCAAGTGTAATTTTTAAAACAAGGGATCCAATGAAAATATAAAAAAATAAAAACAGTATCATCTTAAATTACGTTGGACCTACCTCTTGATCGGACCGTAGCCATGGCTTCCTATCACCACCAAATCAACGCCCAACTTCTCCGCCACCTGGCAAATCACGTCCCTTGGATCTCCAGGCTCCGCCCTCGTTTCCACCTTTACCTACATACACCACAGCCACATAACAGTAAAACCCAAGGCACAATAACAACTTACATGACAACATTACCCTTCCACAGCCCATAAAATTACAACTTACATTATTCAGCTCCTTGCAAATTCTCTTGGCCTTCTCCGTAACGCAGTTAGCCATCTCGTTACTGTACCTGTCCATGGTTGCCAATATATCCGAGGAAAACAAATACCCTGGAAATCAAAAAAGAAAATCACAAAACCACCACTGAATATTGTTCTTACTGAAATACCCTCGAATCAGGTCAAGTATTACCACTTAAGGAAGGGTGATCTGATCTCTCTCACCTGTTCCATCCAAGCCTGTGTAGACAGTTCGAGGTGGTTGGGCGTAGAGGAGGATAAGGGTATCTTTGGAATTTTCAGTTACTACGTTCTTGAGGCACCATGAGAGAGCATAAGTACTCTCTTCACCTTCATCGACGGCGACTAGGATCTTGCGTTCCGTTCTTGCTGTGCTTGCAGCCATATCTGTATGATCAACAGTTGAACATACATAAACAAGAATGATACAGTTGTGTGAAGGTGCGTAGGAATTGAGCAATTGATGGTGGTATATATAGTGTGTGACTGTGAGAGGATGGTGGGCTTTGAACTTGTTGCCGGTTTATGGTTTTGGACAATGTTTAGCGGTTTTTCAGTGGAGACCGTGGGATTCAATTATTTTATCTGGTTTTAACTCTTTGTTTTTTTTTTTCTTGTTTGGACTAATATCATTTGACACCCTTAAAAGATTTCAATTCTTAATTTACACCCTTAAATATTAAAAATTTTAATTTATACTCTTAATGTTATTGAATTGATAGTAACGTCAACTTCATCCAAACTATCATTCAATTTTTCATTATAAATTGAAGATGATGAGTTGCAAATGCTTTAGGCATGAACATATGTGTAAATCTATTGACGGTTGACGTTTCATATGAGATACACATAATATGGTTAACCTCTATTTCATTAATAAAATCCTATTTTTTATACACTAAACAGTATTAAAATGCCTCATCCTCATGACTTCGCAACACTTAGCTGTTTTTGGTAAAATAAACCAACATTATTCATTGGGAGAATTAGTCTTATAGAAATAGGGGGAAAGAGGAAAATCATATTAACTTGAATCAAGCAAAATCAAATCAACATACTGCACACTTAGACATTCAAAGTCAATGGAAGTTTAGTACCTGGAACTTAGACGATGGGAATGCATGTAAAAAACAAAAAGGACCATGAAAATCAATAACAAAGAGCCTTGATCTTGAGGGGTAATTCAATTGGTTTTGCATAATTTAATGGGAAGTGCTTCTGTGATATTGACATTGACTTCATTTTCCCAAGCTTTTCCCGTTGGGAATCAATCTGGCCACATTGCTACAGTAATCTTGACTACTCAAAATTACTTTCCTCTGGCCAGGATGCCATTCCTTGCCATCCCTGTACCCACACTGCTACAATTTTAGTGTTTGATATCATGCCAAACAACATTGTAGATACTTTAGCCTAAGTATTGAGCAACAATTCCAAAAATTAAGATAAAAAAAGGACCATCGAAAAAGCCACAAAACAAAGGTAATTACAATATCATAGAAATAAGTAATAATGGGAACTACTTCTCGTAATTAGGGGGTATTCATGGGCCAGGCCGGGTTAAGACCGCAAATTTTTTTACAATTAGCCCTAGGTAGTGTAGGCTTAAGACCTTATTCGGACGAGTTATTGGGCCGGACTTCGGGTAGGAGTAGGCTATTTCGCAGCCCAACATGCCACTCATTGGACAGGCCTTGTGGGTGGGCTTGCTGGGTGGTCTTTATATATATATATATATATATATATATATATATATATATATATAATATTTTCAACTTAATATTTTTTAAAATTATATTTTTAAATTAAAAGTAGATTCAAAAAGACAAAATGTAAATAATAAATAATTTTATTTAAATAAAGTAAAGTCATATATTACCTCCAAACTTTCAAAGTTTCAATAATTAACTTTTTGTCAAACAATTGGATGGAAATGTAGATGAACTAGGTGGGCAGACTGGGCTAGGCAAGCGAGTTAGGCTAGGCTGGCTGGCGGGCGGGCTCATGAGCCGGGTTTTTGCTGGTAGACTCATGAGTCGGGTAATGGGTTTAAGGACAAACCCAAATCCTTTTTTAAAAGATATTAGACTTGGATTCGGACGATCAACTATTGAATCTATCGAATTTTGAACCTATTTTTTCAAGATGAGTATCGAATTCTTGGGCAATCTGGCCATGCTTGCAATGTGAAGACCAAAATTGTTAGACCACCACAAAACCAATAAAATAAATAAATAAAATTTATTACTATCACACAACATTCATACTCATCTTCGGTAAAGCTGAAACATCAAATCCATAAAATCAAGTGAATTATTTGCGTTTTTAATTTTGTCTTAAAATTTGGTCAACGTAACATTACTGTATCTTCTAATAATGAAGAAATAAGTGCATGCTCCGAAAGTCAAGCTCCGCAACTCATAATAAGTCCAACATGCCACCTTAGAAGCACGTTTGTACTTGCAGTATGGTCAGGTTCGGTAACTACTTTGACTAATTCAATTCAGTTTAGAATAGTTTTGAAATTTGGTCGGGGCATCAATTCGGGAAAGTGATCAGGTTAATGAATTATTGATTTAACCGTTAAATAATTAGTCAAATCGATAATATAATAATAATAATAATAATAATAATAATAATAAANCACCCTCTTTGTTCTCTGAATCCCCTTTCTTTTTCTCTGGATAGTCCTGTTTAAAGTGCCCTTTTTTCCCGCACTTGTAACACGAGACAGAGACGTCCTTCTTCTTCTTTTTCCTCGACTTGGACCGGGCTTTATTGTAACCCGATCCATTCCGAGATTTGCTTCTTCCACGTTCCTGGTTACCTTTCACCACAANATTATAAAAATAGCATGCTTAACGTATATTAAGTCAAATAAAAACCCCAAAATCATCAAACATGTATAAAGGAGTAAACCCAACATCTTATTTTGTAGCGTCAATATCCAATAATCAATATGAATCTATATAATAAAGTAGAGTTGAGTTTGAATTCAGAGACAAAAAAGGTCAAGATCGTTTTGAAATAAAACATAAACACATCCAATAGACAACAAACAATGTAATCCCAACATAAAAGATGGTTCAGATCATCTCATAAATACTGATCTGACGATCATAGTTGGACTTAACTCTAACACTCATATCTCTCATATAACTCTCTCTCTCTTATCTCTTAGAAGTTTTAAACACACTATCTCATTTCCTCTTTCTCTCTCTCTCCCTATATATATATATATATATATATATATATATATATATATANTGATTGAACACGTTGATGTGTTGGGTCAAATCCGAGCCCTCCGACATCTTAAGACCATATAGTTTCTACTTAAGATAGAGCTTGTTCGTCAACGAATTGGACATATATCGACTTTCCAGTTTCAACCAAACTTCCGCCGGTGATTCCTCATCNAGTTAGATTGTTTGTCTTGAGCTTTCGCGGCTCAGATCGTTTTCATCTGATGGTTGTAATTGAACTTTCATTCATTTTACAATTCTAAGACTCCTATCTCTCATATAACTCTCTCTCTCTCATATTATTATTTTTTTGTTTTTCTAGTGTTATTTTTGTTATTATTTACTACATAAAAATGTTATACAATTATTTATTCGATGAAACTAATTCAAAGTTTTTATATATCTGACAGTATGTATTTTGTCACTTATTTCTTAATTTAAAAATAACACTTTGATGTAAATATAAAATAGCACATTGACTATAAACACCGAATAATATTCAACATGAATGAACCATAGATTGTAAATTAATATATAATTTTATCACAAAGTAACATTTAATTTTGTCTAATTTATATTCAACTTTACCGAATTAATGTCAAATTAATTTTTATTGTTATCAAATTAATATTAAAATTCATTGAATCAATTTTTTGGGTACTAAATCAAATTTTATTAATTTATTAATATTTTTGGTACAAAATTTGGAGAAGAACAACTGTAAAACTAATAAAGTTTTTTGAGATAAAATTATCAATTTTTATTAGCAATATTTACAAAAGTGAGACATAAGGAGTCTCCATGTAATAAATTTTAGACCTCAGGGGGTCTTTGTGTTATTTATAAAACATCAGAAGGTGTCTGCGTAATATTGTCAAAACTCAGAGGATGTTCACAATTTTTACCATGTTTCTTAATTAAATATTATTTTATCTTAAAAACATGAATTATTATATTTCTAATAAAAGCTGTTATTGGTTAGGAGGGTTTGTTAGTAACCAAAAAGGAAATGTGAGTGAGTTTGTTTATGTGTATATTTATATGTGGAGGATTTTACACTTAAAATTAAATTTATAATTATATTATATCATTTGAGAGTTGGATGGTGATAGTGGTGATAACTTCATAAGTTTTATAAATGAGCAAGAGTTGAGTTGATTTTATTTATCGCTTAAAAATTGTGAAATTAATGTATTCTATTAGTATTTTTTTTTGGCTTGAGATATTTATTTCATGGGGATAGGTGGATTGAAAATATGATGGTTGAGTTTATAATTATATTGTGCTATTAGATTGAATGATAATAAATGTGATAAATTTGTGAGTCTTATAAATAAACAATATTTGATTTATTTTTTTATTGCTTAAAGATTGTAAATTTCAATAGGTTATGTTAGTATTTTTTTTTTTTCAGTGGCATTTGTATATAGTTGTTATTTTGGAAAATTTTATATATTGTTATGGCAATTCCATTAATATGGAGGATATGATCGATATATTTCGAACAATTTTGAAAGAAGAATTTGTATAAATATTTTTAGGCTATTCCTTTAGAATTTGGACAATTGTTTAAGATTTTTTTATTTCTTGTATAGTGCCTTCAGGCACGAGTAATAACTAGTAATTCAATATTTACGATCTAGAATGTATAAATGACCACCATTTTGTAGTAAAATCATCAAACAATAACGTTTAAGGCCTAAATTTTAACACTGATAACACATACTAATATATTAATATCTTACAAAATAACCTAATTGGGAGACTTAAATTTCCCTAATCTACTCAATTGATCAAACACTAGCACCTATAAGCAATTTGCTCTTAATTGATCAAACAATCTGCTCTTAATTAAATGCATAATTTTTGAAATTGATAATGTGGTCAATGTTGAAATAGCCAAATAGAAGGAAGATTGATTTATAATTCATAGTTTTATACATTATCAATGTGTAAAAGAGTAGTATAATAATGTATTAGTATTGCACAATTTACAATATATGACAATATCATCAAATATCAACCAAGTCTAAGTACTAAAATTAAATAGCAGAGACTAGAAAATACCGAGTGTTATGCCGCACTTGAAGGAATGAAATGGGTAGAGAATGAGGGGGTGAAGCAACCGTTGATGGAGCCTTCATCTTTGATTCTTCTTCTTCATCTTCGTCTTCATTTTCGAGTTCGATACTTCAACTTCAAATTTGCGTAGTGTGTAGAGAGAGAGAGAGAGATGATTGAGGAGGAGTGAGTCGTTACTCGATTGATCTCACAGACGCTCAGATGGTGGCGAGAAGAGAACAATTGAT